CGACCTCACTCGATTTTTGCTAAATCATACATATTTTACGAGTTGGCCAATTCGTATGAATTCGTAAGAATGACCTACCCCTAAACCAACCCATCACATGGTTTTAGACAAATCATACGAATTCGCACGTGTGGTCGTATGAATTAGTACGAATCAACCACTTTTTAATCACTTGTACGAATTCTTACGAATTGGTCGTGAAATAGCGGTGAATGAACCCCTAACATATTTACTACCCCTGAATATTATTTTAATCATGTAACAACACATTTTTTTTTAAGTTTCTTAGATGTTGGTTAATGGTCACATATAGGTAAAACATTAAATATATATATTTTAAGTATGTGTTTTATTTTTATCATTTTTATTTGAACATTTATCCATTTATTTCAATCTTACTTTTTATTATATTATTAGCTTTTCATCAACTATTTTCATAACTCTAGCCCCAGTAGGGAAATCCTAATCTAAAAGATATCGCAATAAACAAACATTACAATCGGCTTTCACTGGGGGTCCGGGAGGAGGCGGGATACAGGATTCTGCGGGGTTATACAATTTTGCACAACACAGAAGTTACAATTTGTAATTTGTGCATCTGTGGCATACATTTTTTGTAACACGTGTGTTTAGTATTGGGAAAAGGCCTGGAAGTATAAATAAGAAACACCCACTTCACTCCCAGTTTGCTTTAATCAGAAGATAGTTAAGGTACCTAAATTACATAAAGAGGTCCACCACCATACTTTTGTCATATGTTTATGATTTCTTGGTGGGGTGATTAGCTCAGATGAAACATCCTCAAGAAAGGAGGATCATTTACATGAACTTCTGTGGTAAAGGCGTTAGGAAACTGGTTCACTGCAGTAAGGCTTGAAGAACAATGTAGGAAGGCCACCAGTTCTTGTGTGGTCATATAAAATAAGATCAAATCTACATAAGGATTGCCAGATGCCTTCAGACAGACACAGGGTAATGCTAAAGGTGCCCAAATGAGGAAGCATGTGTTCTCTGCTCCATGTTTTGTGTGCTCTAGTTTCTCATCTGGATTTTGACAAAACTTAGGCTATGTTCAGACTGCAGGCAAATTAGATTTATTCCTCAAATCAGATCTTTTCAGGCAGACTGTCTGCTCTATTAATTGCAAGTGACCAAATAAGATTTGTGTGTCCAGAGACATAACCATAAATGATGTAGGCGTGCCAACAGATTCAGGAAAAATGGAGGTGCATCATCTCACCTTCCAAATAAGCGGTCTATCAAGTCGTGGTGCAGAAAATCGCACAAGAAAATGCAGAAATCGTCCCGTTTAAACACTATATGAATACTTCGAATGTTTTAAACGGTTTTGACATTTGCTCAATTCGGATCGGCATACTAACATACTACTCTTAACATTTTTCTCATATCTTTCTATAGCAAAAATAGTGAGTAGTACGCAAATTCGTCAGTTATCATTGTGTGTCGTGTTAAGAGTGACACAAAAGTCCATTTGAAATCTGAGTTGAGCAGTTCTGAGTCACAAAATCTGAATCACATTTAAAACCACCTCCAAATGTTTTGTTATTTTGCTGTGCAGACTTTTAAATATCAAACAAATCCGAAACAAATTTTATTTTGCTGGCAGTCTGAACATACTATAGCCTTAGAGAACTCAATAACTATGGTAAGATTTGTGGCTCTATTGCTTTGTGCCATGTTCCCTAATCATGGAGAGTGCCTCCTATGTCAAAACCACATGGTGTTCCTTCACACGTCAGAGCATCATTTCTGCTTGGCAAATCATGAAACCAATTAATTTAATTTGGGTAAGCATGCAATATTTCACACTCACAGTGTTTGTTAAATATATATAAATATTGTCATTTCAGTGTAAATGAAAATGTCTGATTTTTATGATAAACTGATTGAATGTAAGCCAATATTGGCATCATGCTAAATCAGTACACCAGAAGCTGCCAGCAAAAACATTTAACTATATTGGAAGCCAGTGACAATTGAAATCAACAGAATATTAGATTAGATGCAGAGCTAAAGATACAAGTAGCATTTTTTGCTATACGTGAGGCCTATCAGAAAGATGCAACACATTCACTTTCATTCTACAAAATACCTGATATTGCATGATTGCATGAGGTGCAGTCTTCAATTGAACAGGTTCAGGCTTCATGCATGACATGCATCACAAACACTTGATCTAAAGAGACAAGCCTGCGAACGCAACAGTAATATCTTCCATCACAGTGCATATGTGAGCATCCATCTCCTCTCCTCCTCCTCTGCTTCCACCCCACCCCCGTTCTTGCTTCCCATGGAAACATAGTGCGTTGGTGTATCGCAGATGCTGCTACATCAATCCCTGACTGCAGAACAACAAACCTCCCTCCCTTTCTGTGCTGTTCTTCATGTGTCTCTCTGTATTTCGGATCTTACCTTTCCTCCATAGCTGTGTAGCTTCAGATGCACCAGCGATACAGTTTCTTGCCTTACTCGTCAGGCTGAGACCCATTTCCCGGAGGGGAGGGGGCTGTTTTGCACAGTCTCTCTTTTCGTTTCTGTTCTCTCCCCCTCTTTCTGCACTACAGCGACATAAGCAACTCACACCACCAGCATGCCGTAGGGGAGGAGCCTGTTGCTGACTGAGCTCAGGAGCCAATCACAGGACAGGAAGCACTAATCTCTGTGCTCTCCCTCTACCTTGATTTTTTTTTCTTTCTCACACATCAAAAATACACATCTACCTTCTGGTATTCACACTTGTGATTAATTCAATAAATTAACTTTTTTGTTTCAATATTTATTATTAAATATTTTGTATTTTGAGTTTTTTTGGTGTTATTAGAGAATATTCGCCTGCCCTAATTGATGCACAATTTTCCTCTTTAAAAAAATAATGCAAATAAAATAAAAAATAAAAATCATTTTATTTTCAATTAATAGCCTAGAGTTTAAGATACACTGGTGTGAGAAGTAAATATAAATTTTTTTGTAAATGGCTCTCTCTTCTCTCTCCTCTCTCCTCTCTCTCTCTTCTCTCTCTCTCTCTCTCTCTCTCTCTCTCTCTCTCTCTCTCTCTCTCTCTCTCTCTTCTCTCTTCTCTCTCTCTCTCTCTCTCTCTCTCTCTCTCTCTCTCTCTCTCTCAGTCTGTGTGTGTGTGTGGTGTGTGTGTGTTTTGTATTTCCATTAATTTCCTAATGGCGGTCATATTTCATATTTGACCACAGAGATAATCTGGTATTATGTTTTAGCCTTTAGCAAGTGCCAAAACGTTCATACAATTGTAATGAAGTAAAAAAAAAAAAAAAAAAAAAAAAAATCGTAGCCTATATTTTTTCAGTCTAAAATAACCAAATACAACCAGAGGTTTAAGGAGAAACAACTAAATTTCAACCAAAATATCAATAATATGACATTAATGTTAATATTAATATGACAATAATGTTTCTATCTAGAGGGTCCGAATATATTTTATGACAGCGATGTAGTAGGCTACGATGTATGTCTCTCTCTTCTGACATGATACTTTCCACAAATATAGCTACAATTTGGTGTTCTATTAGCCAACATATTTAATTGAATTTGTAGCCTATTCAGGCAACTTTAATAATAATATTGTATTTTAATAGTTTATTGAAGTTTTTTTAACCATACAGTAACTGGCATGACTGGTAGATTTTAAATTATAATGGGAATTCCAAATCAAATCAAGGGGAGCATTGAGGCACTTTTGAATGCTGTCCAAGATGGAAAATATGAGTGGGACAGGCTGGTACTCTCAGTCAACACATCCCAGTGTCATTACAACTGTCAGACAAAGCACAATGCAGACGCACACTTACACAAAAACACACACCCAAGTGAATAAACAAAAAAGCCTATGATGTCACAAAAGCACACATAGTGTGTTTCTGGTTTATCATTCAGCAGACACTGATCTCAATAAGCACTGGAGTGTTAAATAACCAGGGACAAATTCTGGCCAGGACTGTTTGCTTAATTGATGTACTTTAAAACAAGTAAACCAGCCTTTACAATAATGGGTTGTTTTGCTAAAGAGGTCCAATATATTAAAGACAATATCAAGGAGTTAATCAGGCTTTGGCTGGATAAGTCATGACTCAGTAAAAAGTATTGTGAAAAAAATCTGTGAAATATAGAAGAGACAATACATCTTTCATCGAACTATGTGCCTATCGCTCAGAAATAAATAAAACATTTCTTTATAACACAAAATCTTATTTTTAGTACATTAATTTAGTAGTGTTTTTATAAATTAATAAATTTGTTTTATAAATATGAAAATCAAAAATGACTTTCAATGTTTAACCTTATATAAATGTTTTTCTCTTTGTGGTTTTTATTATACTATTATGTGCATTTTTTTTAATTCGATGAATAAAGTTGTTAAACATGATAGAATAGCAGCACCCTCTGCTGGTAGATGTGATAAATACAAAATCAAGTGTTTTTTTTTTTTTTTTTTTTTTCATTAAAGGGATAGTTCACTTTGAAATTGGCATGTTTTATCAAGGGTATCCAAGATGTAGGTGTCTTTTTACATCTTGTAACCACAGCCACAAAGCGCCCGCGCCCTCAGATCACTTGGACGTGGCTGTGGTTACAAGAGGTAAACAATATATAAATACTGTTTGTTTTCTCACACAAACCGCTTGTTTCGTGTCTTAGGCCATCAATGTGTACTTACATTAACGAGTCTTTAAATCATGTTTAATTTGGACTTCTCTGAGCATGCTCTTAGAGGTGGTGACCATAGACCTCCATTATATAACTGACAGAAAAGAACAATTTGACCTACAAATATCAAAATTGAAACTACTGCAGAAAACAAAGACACCACTTGGATGCCCTTGAGGTAAGCTAAAACATATCAAAAATTAATTTCAAAGTGTACCCTACTCAACTATCCCTTTAAGATTTACAAACATCTGAACTGTGTAGATGCCCCGTGTCTGATTCAGAGCAACAAAGAAAGAAAGGTGCACATTTGTATATTAAATTTTATTTTTGCAATGATGGATATTAAAATTCAAAGTATGTCTGTTGCATCAGATTTAAAGACTTACAGAGATAAAAAGACATGAGATATTAGTATCAATCAAATTTAGGATTAAAACTCAATTCTAGCCAATCTGTAACAGATGAAGGGGAGGAGAGTTCCACAGTCTGCATCATTCCAGCGATTCTCATCTGTGAAATTTCAAAGTCATGATATTCAGAATTAGGCTATAGAGCTATGAGCAGGAATCTTTAAACATAAATGTGTAATAAAACATGCAAGGTTTGAATCCACGGAACAGCTTATGATTCATTCTAAATAAACAATTTGGGTCAAATAGGTTTAATATATGGACAGCAGTTGAAATATTACCTCCATATCCCATCTCCGCACATCTTTCTCTACCTGCATCATTATTCGGCTCGCCAGTATGCCAGTCGTTGTACTCAAACTTTGATCCGTCACTCCAAAACCAGATAAACTCCTGAAAAAGGTATAGGCTATTAACTTCATTGAAAGCATGTGTTTCCATTTCCACTTGATTATACTCCCTCCTTTAAAACATTACCACTGGCGCATTCTCATCCCAAGGCGTCATCTAACTGACAATTTTGACCATGCTTCAATATCTGACTCTTTAGGCACCCTTTAGCGTCAGTTAGTTTACGCGATCCTAGGGCGCCATCTAATTGACGCTAAAGGTAAAGCGTCAGTTAGATGACGCAGGTAGGTTTAGGTCTGGGTTAAACGCGATCCTAGGGCGTCATCTTACTGATTCTAAAAGGGTGCCTAAAGCGTCAGATATTGAAGCACGGTCAAAATACTTCCCAAGGCGTCAGTCTGATGATGCCTTGGGATAAGAATGGGCTGACTGGCAATGTCTAAACAAACACACAACTTTTTTAAAGTCAAAAGCCAACATTTTTTAATTTCAACATTATCATTTTTACAATAATCTGATGGTTATAGAAGCCCATTTCCGCTACATAAAAAACAAATGTAATTATGACAGTAGAAATTATGACATGCTATGAAATCTTGACGTTTTTACTCTAAAAGGCATACTCATTAGACAAATTAATTCAGTTAAATTAAAAATAATGTCATTATGTCTCTAATTTATGTCTAATTATGACTTTTTAAGTCATAATTTTAACTTTTTATGTCATAATTATGACTTACCAGAGCAGTATTATTATTATTTTTCTTAGGTTGGACTGATATTTAAAGGGAAATAAAAAAAGAATCACCTGAGGTGCATCATGAGCACCAATCCAGGTTCGGGTGAAGCCTTTGGAATTTTTTTTCACAAAGGTTTTTAGTACATTGTGAGTGACTTTACTGTGGACAGATACAAGGTTCCCTCCGAGGTCAACACATTGTTGCTGTAAAGAGAAAGAGTTTTAAAGTACACTGCAGTGCGAAATTAAGAAATAATTTCAAATTCACAACATTTTTAATTACTTCATTTTTAACCGGCCTGTATTTTTAGCTTTACACCAAAGTGCACAGTTAACAGTGTACGTTATTTGGTGACCCATAAGCACGACCTAAAAATTGAAACTTGCACTTAATCATGTACATTTCAGAAAACACAAATTAACCTCTGCTTCGGCCCATGATTTAGACTCGCTGAAATATTTAAAACATTGTGATCCAAATTTCTCCCAGCCGTCAGGGCATTTTCGGCCAATGGATCCTGGAAACGAGAGATTAGTTTTTACACTGTAAAAAAATATTTTCAAGATTTGTTACAACATTTTTTCGTTTGTCAAATCAACTTAAACCATTTATTTAGTTCAGATAACTTATTATTTTGAGTTTCTGGTGATTAAATCACCAGAAAACCTCCTCATTATCTGCAGCTTGAACAGATGCAAAAAAACTCAAGGTCTTGTATCTGTAAAAAAAAAAATTGTTGGTTTAACTTAAAAAATTAAGTAACCTGGTTGCCTTAAAACTTTAAATTCACTGAAATTGAAAAATTGAGTTAATACAATGAAGGAGATTGATTTAATAATCAGAAACTAAAAATATTATGTTTTCTGAACCACATAAATTATCCAAATTGATTTGACTGAAGAAAAAACAGTGTTTTTTTTACAGTGTACCTGCGGATTCCACCTTGATGACTCCATTTACAGCCAATGCAAAAAGAAGGAACGTTGCAGAAATCCACATGTTGACAAAGTCCTATTAAAATCAACATTATTATAAATAATGTAATAAATAACACGTTTTAAAATAGAAACATATAGAAATGTCATACCAATACGGCTGTTTGTAATGCTCCGTTGTGCAATGCTCAGATCATTGCTTGAAATCCTCTGTATTTATAGGCAGTTGCTCAGTCATAAAGGTGTGATGCTTATGTTTCAACACCAATGAAAACTTCTTTAATCCATCAGTCCTTATTAGGTGAACAAGACCTGATTCTGAACATCATTATTTATGATGATGCATTTTGTTGCAAATTCCAGTGCAATATTCTTGACAGTTACTGCTAATTGAAATAAAAAGCAAATGAACTAAAATATAGGCTACGGTAATGTGTTGGATTTCATTTGAATAGAGACGAATAGCAATTTATCTGATCGGATGTCATAGCCATTTTGTCATGTCATTTTTGCTAATTTGTTTTTATTGCTCGAAAAACAAGATTTGAAGATTTTTTAACATATTTTTCAAAGAGATTTTCAGATGTCTGCTTCAGTGGTATGCGTTTTGGGTTTTAGATACTGAGATATAAAAAATAATACTGTAATAATAATATAATACAGGTTGCAAAAGTAACTGAGTTTGTTGCATTGCAACAGCAGACTAAGAACCTCATACAATTGGATGTCATGAGTCTTTGATATTAGAACATGAGGACGTGATTCCATCAAAGATCTCCACAACCGGTCAAGGTACAACTGTAGAAACCCAACACCAGCTGATAATTCTGTTAATGTTCAAAATGGACACATTTCTATACAGTAGCACTCGAAAGACTGAAATCTACATTGATCTATTGATGTTTTCAGACTGTGGAAAACGTTTAGAAAATGTAACACTGAGTAACGCGCGCATTACAAGTACCATGCATTGCGTAATCAGATTACTTTTTAATGTAACGAGTAAAGTAACGTATTACAGGTAAAGTGCATTATATGTAATAAATTACATTTTTTATTACAAGTAACATTATGTAATCACATTACTTTTGATGTAACTGATTACATTCTAATAACACAAAAGCATTTATTTACAGCCTAAATATTTACTGCAGATTAGTATTTTCAAGAATAATATTCACAGTAATAGTATGAATTGTAGCTGACATGTAGCTAGTGATGCATGATGTCTAATTTAGTTGACAGATGATAAATCAGAATTTCCTCCCAATAACAAAATGTGACTCCTTATTTGATGCCAAACAACTTTTGTTTTACCTGCAAGAGTCTAGGATAGAAGGAATGGATGGCTGTTGGCCATCTTGGTTTGAAGGGGAAAAGTTCCACTTGGTGGAAATGTATAGGATGATGCACTGCAGCATTGGCCACTTTAGAGGTTGATGTACAACTGTGTAATCAAAACTTATGCATATACACAAGAAAATGCTTTTTGAATAGCATAGCATGAAATGGAAAACAAAGTCTATGTGCAACCTATTTATAATTATTTGAAAAAAGTGAAATCCTTTTTGCTGAAGAATGTTTATCAGCTTATGTGTTCAAATAAAATAATGTTAATTGTGCATTTTAAAGATTCAAATGATCAATTCAGACTTACCATTTTTATTTCAAAATGAGTGTTACAGTTGCCAGAATTGATTACAATACATTAAAAGCGGCAAGAAAAGAGGAAACTGTAAATATTAGGCAATTTGCAAAGTTAGAGTTCAAATGTCATGATGACTTTGTATTCCTCCCATTTATCTTTATCATCCACACCCGATGTTATAGCCACTCTCGATAAATGTGCAGTAAATGTTAAAACTATTTGCATTGCAAATGAGTGTGTGTATAATTCCGACAATACATTAGAATAATATGCTAAGAAATACCAGTCTGCAATGTAAAGCAGCATATCGAGGTGTTTTTTACAGCTAAAATAACTGCAAGTGGAAGAAACAGGAAGTCTTGCACATCCAAGTTACAAATGGCCACGCCCATCGACTTTCAAAGTAATTTAATGTTATTACACAACAAGACTGTCTGTCATCGCCGATGCCATTTCTGTCAAAATACATTTCACACAGCATTTATGCAACAAAAGACAAATGTGAGATTTATGCAACATGAGACAAATGTGTTTTATCAGATTACTGTAATTTTCTCTGCACTGGAGCATTAAAACCAACTACATACCTGACTAAATTGAATAAAAATAGCTTAACATGTAGAGGTTTTTGTTCATGGTCCTGATGGTCTATGATTTATTTCAACGCATTCTCACCCCTAGGTGTCACCTTTTGACCATGCTTCAATATTCTACGCTTTGGCGGCCTTTAGCATCAGTTAGCCTATAACGCGATCCTACGGCGTCATATAACTGACGCTAAAGGAAAAGCGTCAGTTAGATCTGGGGTAGGGGAAGGGTTACTCGCGATCCTACGGCATCATCTAACTGACGCTAAAGGGTGCCTAAAGCGTCAGATATTGAAGCATGGTCAAAAATGCACGCCTTGGGATGAGAATGGGCTGTTTATTTCGGTGGTGTGGGATCAGTTAGACATTATCAGCGTCAGTATTGTAAAACAGAGGTTAGAAATGTGAGGGATAAATGTAGAAGAACAGTTGCAGTATGGTGCAGTACAAATTATGTGATTTATGCCTTGTTTTCACAGCTCATCTTTGCTTGTTACATTGGTCGATTTTGGTGATTCTTCTATTGATTCATCCAACACCTGAAAAGCAGAAGGAAACACACCAACTATATTACTCAAATATTATTATCTTTTTTTTCACCTAATATCAGGCTAAATAATCAATCCATCTGTTAGCTTTTGACTGACCTCATCTTCATCATCATCATCATTGTCCTCATCCTCATCTTTGCTCTCTTCTTCTGGTAACACTCCTCCATTATCCAGGAACTTTGAGAATGTTTCCAAATCTCTATTTCCATCATAGTCAATAATCTGATTTTAAAAAGTATTTTAAAAGCATTTTTTAGTACTGCCATTCTCACCCTTACACATAATAACATAAGGAAAATAGGCCTATATGATAAATTTAAACTTTAAATTTATACATAATATATATATTTTACAAAATGATTTGGACTCTTTCCGTAAATCTGTGTACACAACACAGTTTTCAACTGAAAATGGAAAACATTTTATGCGTTTTATTCCTGTGAACGTGGATTATTTTTACAACTTTGTCAAATCTTTTCAGTTTTTAGTACATCGTTGTTGGGTAACATATACGTAAGTCTATCCAATTTTTTTTTTTTTTTTTAGAAAAATCAAAGCCATGTTCCGATCCAAATTTGAAGTTGATATCACAAAAATGGAATCCACTAAAAGGTTTTAAAATACCATTTCGATGGTTATGCAGTCCAATTTCAAAAGAGTTTTCACAGGATGAATTTTTGGTGTTTTTAATGATACCTAATTTATGATGATAACTAAAATATGTGATAAAAGCAATAAAAATAGTGCCAAGTGTCCCACTACCAAGACACTGATAGGTAACAGGTTTTTAGAGTGTGTGTGTTGTTGCGAACCTTCTTTTCAGTCCCAGCAGGAAAGTATTTAATGGTGGGAAATCCCTGTATAATGACATCTTCCACATCGTTTTCTGTGGCATCCATTTTTGCTATTATTATGTCCTCATGGTCTTTGTACTTCTCTCCCAATGCATCCCACACAGGAACCAGCTGTTGACAGTGACCACACCATGGAGCATCTGTGAGAATGACACAAATGATAAAGTCGGCTGAAACGTAAATTGCGATAGTCTTTTCTTCCTTGTTGTGATGTAAACTATATCTCAGTAAAACGACGTCTCAATACTTGATTTTGTCTATGGGGATCTGTTTTGATTTGCTATTAGAGATTAGAGCGTTATAGATTTTAAAGATAACATTCAAATACGTTGTTGACTTAACTTAGAACAGATGTAGACATCCTTGTTTAATTTATCCGCTTTTAGTTAGTGTTGTGGTCTACCGCATAACTTAATCCAGAGCAGACACAGTATCTCGGTTGATATGTAGCTTGAAAGGGTAAAAAAATACACACCGTCGCCCAGCCTCTCGGAAACCTGTGTCGGAGTTGCATGTACCCCATGCACACCGTTGGACCATTTTAAACTTAAAATCACAAGAAAAAAACAAATGAAAACTGACTAACTGCAATGCAGTCCAACGGACGTGGAAGCAGAGAATGTCTGAGTGTATTGGATTGGCTGCGCACTGTGATTGGCTCATCGCATTTGAGGGCGTGGCTTAGCCATAGGTCAATTGCAGTTATTCGCGGAATTATCAACTTTACGTGGGTTGTGCCTCGGCACGGCACAGCGCGGAGGAATACAATGTTTTGAGGAGAATGTGAGACTGTCAGTAACCACGCCTGTGTGGATCCTGGGATTCGGAATCACAGATTATTCATTTTGGGAGTATGACCAACACCGGAAAATGTCATCTGAACAAGTAAGTAACATTCACTTTTGCTCTGACCAACTAAGGGTAAAAAAAGCCTTTCAGTAAATCACGCTGATTAAATCAATCAATCGCTTATGATATCACGTCAAACTGTGCAAATTATACTTTGTTCTCAAATTGTTAATGGTAACAACATCAGAATTGCGTGACTACATTCAATGCACCGATATTTATCCTTGTTTTCGTATGGGCCCGTTTGCGTCTCTTTTTGAACCTCGGGTGAATCTTCAGTTGTGACCGGTTATTGTCGTTTGAACCTTTCTGGATCCGCCATCAAATTGATAAGTTTAATTATATCAAGTGCTGTGAGAAAAGGCTATAAATCTCCACCTCCAACATCCTCACACGCACTATAGCCTACTAGTCGAGACTCCTTCTTTATGTGTACAGATGTGACGTAACGACACAAAGACATGTTCAAATCTCCCACGGAAATCCACTGGAATTAAAAACATTATTACAAGCTCACCGCTTTGAATCGAGCTAAGGCAAGTGGATAGTTTTGAACACTGGCTGGTTGTGTACTTGATCCAAAATTTATTTTGGATAATTTTTACCCCCAAAAAGTTACATACTGCAGCTTTAAATAGAATACTTCTATATTTGAGCCTAAGAACTTACCAAATTCCCTTATGATATATTATAAAAGTAAAAAAGTTGTAAATAAAGCATAAAAAACTTACAAAATTCCACAAAGACGTTCTTAGTCTCATCAAAAGCCACTTCATTAAAGTTCTTCCCTACAAGAACTTTAACTGGATTCTTGTCCCAGTCCTCAGGAATTTTTTGAGTCTTCAAAAAGGGCTATAAAGTGTAGATTTTTTTTAGTAGGCAATTTTAGAAACTTGATCAATATTCAATAATGCTGCATTACACACCTTCACGGTACCATCCAGAACACCCTGGCAAAAGGATCTCAGCGTGTCTGTGTTGATGATTGATCCTTCCATTGCGTATGTCACCACTTTCTCAGTGTCAATCAGGCGAATAATAGGAACATCTTTTTCAGAGATACTGAAATACTTCAGCACATGCTCCGCTTTGTCATAAGTAACATCTAACAGGATGAAAAGCACCTACACACACACACACACACACACACACACACACACACACACAAACTGTGAGCATGATTTGAAATGGCTCTCTGAAAAACAAATATGAATCTTGATTCTGAAAAGAAATCAAATGATGTTATGTTCAACATCACATTACAGTATATTAATGTATATTATTTATTACAATTACAATTTAGTTATGTAAACTTACTTTTTCCTTAAACTCACTGGCAACATCTCTAAAATCTTCGAGCAGTGCATTCTGGGATTCCACAGTTGTATTAATGAACAGTAGCATATGTTTACGGACCTTAGAGCTAAAAATTTGATCAGCATTCTGCAGAAAGATAATATAAATACAAAAGAAAAAAGTATTTAAAAAAAAAGTTTGGTAGCAAAAATAGTGATTATATCATAAATTATTTTTTTGATTCATGCACACATAGTTTATATATTTAAATGAATTTTAAAGTGTTACCTCTTCATTAAATGGAATGACAAGTTTCATACTGTTAGAATGGATGAATGAAATCAGATCCCCTTTGTCTAGCTTTTCCTCGGAGAGTGGCATGTCTGCCCGCTTTTCATCAAACTGGAACATATACAAAAAGAAGGACATGTTGGGAGATATAGTTGAACGAACAGTTGAACATAGCCAAACTAAATTAATTGAATTAATTGCATTATTTTTATTTTTGTTACACAAGAAAGTTATGTTTGGTTTGAACTCATGTTTTTAACAAATTGATTATTTTGGTTAAATGATTATTCATGTATAATTATAATGATTATTTTGGATAACTGGTTAGATGAATTATTCAATGACTCACTCATAACACACAAAGATTCAATTGTTTTCATCGACTCATGTTTTTAGCGAATCAGTTAGATTAATTATTCAATGACTCATTCATAACACAAAAAGATTCAGTTGTTTCTGTCGACTCATGTTTTTAGCAAATCGGTTAGATGAATTATTCAATGACTCACTCATAACACACACAAAGATTCAATTGTTTCCGTCGACTTGTGTTTTTAGCAAATGATTATTCATGGATAATTATAATGATTATTTTGGATAATTGGTTAGATGAATTATTCAATGACTCACTCATAACACACAAAAATATTCAATTGTTTCCTTCGACTCATGTTTTTAGCAGCCCATTCTCACTCCCAAGGCGTCACCTAACTGACGCCTTGGGAAGCATTTGGACATGCTTCAATATCTGACGCTTTAGGCGCCCTTTAGCGTCAGTTAGATGACGCCCTAGGATCGCGTGTACCCTACCCCCACCCCACACCTAAACCTAACCGCGTCCTCTAACAGACGCTTTCCTTTAGCGTCAGTTAGATGACGCCGTAGGATCGCGTCATGTAAGTGACGCTAAAGAGCGCCTAAAACGTCAAATATTGAAGCATGGTCAAAGGTGACGCCTTGGGGTGAGAATGCGTTGTTTTTAGCTAATCGGTTTGATGGATTATTCAATGACTCCCTCATAACTCTCAAAAAGATTCAGTTGTTTCCATCGACTTATGTTTTTAGCAAATCGGTAAGATGGATTATTCAATGACTCTCTCATAACACACAAAAGATTCAATTGTTTCAGTCAACTCATGTTTTTAGCAAATTGGTTACATGAATTATTCAATGACTCACTCATAACACACAAAAGATTCAATTGTTTCCGTCAACTCATGCTTTTAGCAAATCGGTTAGATGAATTATTCAATGACTCACTCTCAGAACACACAAAAGATTCAATTGTTTCCGTCAACTCATGTTTTTAGCAAATCGGTTAGAAGATTAATTATTCAATGACTCACTCATAACACACAAAAGATTCAATTGTTTCGGTCAACTCATGTTTTTAGCAAATTGGTTACATGAATTATTCAATGACTCACTCATAACACACAAAAAGATTCAATTGTTTCTGTTGACTCATGTTTTTAGCAAATCGGTTAGATTGATTATTCCAGCCTTTCTCAAAGTGGGTGCCGCGGCACACTGGGGTGCCCCCTAGCTGTGTCAGGGGTGCCGCCAAAAAATTACGTAGGCTAAAAAAATGTGAAAACCCCCCCCCCCCAGAAAAAAAACAGCTGACATTTCATATATAAATATATTTGAATTTACATTCTTCTTTTTAAACATATGAACATATTAATAAAATTGTAAATTCATTTTAGATAAATATATAAAATTAATCATAAAAAATCCGTCTCACAAGACCGAAGCAAGACACACACAACTTGACGCAAGTGACGCAATCCATAGCAACGCGTTATAGCAACACCTCAGACTGACAGAAAAGTAAAAATAAACGTGAATTTAGGCCACTTTAGTTACAGCATTATGGATCGTTTTTTGAAAAGAAAATCCCCACAAGAGCCGGGGATTTTTATTTTATTTTATCTGCATCCTGCACTTCATTTGAGTTCTCCTGTTCTGGATTTGTTATTGGGTTCTTGTATTGGGCGGTCCACCTCTTACGGTTTTATGGCATTTGTGTCTCTGATTAATTATTTTGTGAATTACTTTCCAAACCTTTGTTTTTAAAGGTGCTATAAAGTTTTTATTATTATTGTTATTTACAGTTCATATTATGCTCTGTTCATTACTGTTCTGTCAAACTAAACAAGACATTTGCATTTAAATTTGGGTTATGCAGTGTTTTTAAATTATATTTTACACTGGGGTGCCTTGAGATTTTATGCACTTTTGAAAGGTGCCCTGACTGAAAAAAGTTTGAGAAAGGCTGGATTATTCAATGACTCACTCATAAAACACAAAAAGATTCAATTGTTTCCGTCGACTTATGTTTTTAGCAAATCGGTTAGATGGATTATTCAATGACTCACTCACAACACACAAAAGATTCAATTGTTTCCGTCAACTCATGTTTTTAGCAAATCGGTTAGATGAATTATTCAATGACTGATTCATAACACAAAAAGATTCAATTGCTTCCGTCGACTCATGTTTTTAGCGAATCAGTTAGATTAATTATTCAAAGACTCGCTCATAAGACACAAAAAGATTCAATTGTTTCTGTTGAATTGTGTTTTTAGCAAATCGGTTAGATTAATTATTCAAAGACTCACTCATAAGACACAAAAAGATTTAATTGTTTCCGTCAACTCAGGGTTTTTAGCAAATCGGTTACATGGATTATTCAATGACTCAATCATAACACACAAAAGATTCAATTGTTTCCGTTGACTCATGTTTTTAGCAAATCGGTTAGATGGATTATTCAATGACTCACTCATAACACACACAAAGATTCCATTGTTGCAATGTTACCTGGAGAATGAATCTTTTTTTAGAAAACAAATTTAAAAGTTTTGAATCACTGGGATTAATTACAGTAAAATACCCACCAATAGTAGTTTGTCTACCAATCACAAAATGTAGTGCTATAGTATAGAAGCATGGGATTACCTTCTTGAAGAGCACCAGCGAGTCACTCTTTACATTATACTTTTTGAAGATGTCTGGGTTGCTTGTAATGCCAAAGACAAAGTCCACTGCTATTAAAGTTACATCATAGAATGTCTTTGCCTTATCGCCTTCCAAATCCTTGGATAGACAGAGAGAGTAAATTCAAGTACATTTAAAACAATTCTAATAAATCTGATAAATCATGTGTCATGATCGTTTTTTTATACAGTATACTGCACTCTTGTTATAAGGCATTGTCAAGTCAGTTACTTTATGCAAAGAAAAGATAATTTACCTGGAAGAATCCAACCACAACCACCTCATTTGCATCCAGTAGAGCCTCTGCACTCTTCACATCATTGAGAACAGTAGCACTGGTACCTGTGTGCCTCTCCAGCCACATCGTGATTCCTTTTACAGTTCGCTTTCCTTTTCAAATCACATAATAATGTGTATAAGCTTCTTCACACTCTATAAATATAAAATCATGCACGCGAACACACTAAACAAATAAATACATTACCAGAAAAATCTGTGAAATTTTGCCTGTTGCCATCTTTGAAGAATTTAAGCATGGGAAAACCATCCACAGCAAACTCGCTGGCAAGTTCTTTCTCTTCTGAGGCATCCACTTTAGCCAGCCGTACCTCGGATGAACCGTTTTTCAGCAGTCCGGCCACTTCAGCATAAATGGGCTCCAGTCTGCGGCAGTGACCACACCATGGAGCATCTTTTTATGTTTTGAAAGAAAGTGCAAAGTTGATATTTATCTACTTTCATATAAAGCACACTGGGGCTAGTTGTCACACTTGAATGTTGTTTTGAGATGTAAAAAAAGTTTTTGTTTTCTTTTGATCGCTCTATTCATCAAAGAATTACTGTTCTACTGTATTTTTTCTCAAATAAATATGCCTATATGATACTTCTTTCAAAAACATTACAAAATCATACCGACACCAAACTTTTGAGTGGTGGTAAATACTATCTATATGCTGAAATTGTTAAGAGTATAAGATGTGAAAACTAACCCATTTACTTTATGTGCAAGAATTTAGGTTGCAAATTGCATTTGCATAAATGTAACAGTTACCTTTCATAGTTAAAAATGTTTCACCTTCTACTTTAAAGGAGTAGTTCACTTTTAAAAAACTTTTGCTGATAATTTACTCACCCCCAAGTCATCCAAGATGTTCATGTCTTTCTTTCTTCAGTCGAAAAGAAATTGAAAACATTCCAGGATTTTCTCCATATAATGGACTTCAATGGGAACCAAACGGTTCAAGGTCCAAATGAGAGTTTCAGTGCCGCTTCAAAGGGCTTTAAACGACACTAGACGATAAGGGTCTTATCAAGCGAAATGATCGGTCATTTAAAAAATAAAAAAGTTCAAGTTTTATAAGCACAAATGCTCGCCTTGCTCTGTTCTGTGATGAGTGTTCGTAACTCTCCTGTTCAAACTCGTTCATCAAAATGAACAAATCTTTTTTCGAGTCATGACTCGAAGGGTCCTAGATAAGACCCTTATTCATCGTCTGTTGTCGTTTAAAGCCCTCTGAAGCTGCACTGAAACTCTCATTTGGACCTTGAACCGTTTGGTTCCCAATGAAGTCCATTATATGGAGAAAATCCTGAAATGTTTTAAATGTCTAAAATGTGAGTAAATTATCAACAAAAGTTTTATAAAAGTGAACTACACCTTTAACATTTTACTGCAATGACAATAGCATGTGTTGTAAAATTTGCATAAATGGCTAGTCTTTCAAGTGTGGGAGAAATAACAGGTGCGCTCTTAATAGATGATGTGTTAAACAAATATTAGCAATCTTCAAACTTTTCTTGTGCTGCTCGTGGACAGTTTAAAGGCATGCAACTAAATCTTTTTGAGTGAAAGGGACACTTTTTTCTTCTCATTTTGAACACATTGTTTTCTTGCATTAATAAGATCACAATGACCATTTTTAAGTACATTAATGTTCATAGGGAAACTCATACTTACAAAATTCCACAAGCAGGAACTTGTTCTCACTGAGAGCTCTGTCGAAGTTGACACTATGAAGCACCAAAATGTCGTTCTCTTCAGTAATTTCATCTGTCTTTTCTTGTTTCTCTGGCTCTGCGTCATCTCCAGTGCCTTCCTCAACGTTTTCTTCCCCGTTGTTTCCTTTATCTTCAACGTTGTCCTCAGTCTTTTCATCCTCTGCCCTCACACACAGGCCGCAGAGCAAGAGGGTGAACCCCAGAATGTGCAGAAGCCTCATGGTCAGTCAGTTCAGCCGACCTGTATAGTAAAAGTCCTGAAATGAGCTGTAAAATGCTGCTGTCTGTTCGTGTGGCGCTGATAAGAGACCACTGACGCTGACGAATCACTGAAAAGCCTGCGTGGTGCAAATCTACTGGTCTTACTGGCCACTTCACATGTGCCATGACACTGTGCCGTTGGAAATTAGCATTAGATTACAGGCAAATATAATAACGAATAGAGAATAATTTCAGTTAGCTTTCTTTTTCTGCTTGCTTCATCTTAAGCAATTGAACAGGTGAGCTAGTAGATGAAAACTGCTTTCGTTTACATTCATGTCTTTTGACTTACATAGTCCATTTATATATACAGCCCAAAATCAAAATAATAAATATAGTCTCATGTTAAATTATTTTCATTGGCAAAAGAAGTGCATTCATGGAAGTTGAACGATTCCAATCAATGTGTGAACAAACCACGTGTCCATATCTGACCTTTCTGCCCACGTGCCACGTTCACTATAGTGAGTAGCCCGTGTTCAGTACACGTAAGCTCTCAGAGCACAGTGCTGAAGACACACATGTTCTATTACTAATGATGAATATAGAGTGGACATGCACTAATGTTGCATTGTAAACACAGATAGAAGTGGGATTTGGCACTTGCATTAGCACAGTACCTCATTTATTCAGCATAAGGGCCTCAAAAACAGACTTTTAGTTTATGTTGTTTTGTGCATGTAGTGTATTGATCAGATTCAGATCATTATCACCAGGAAGTGTGTTGAAACCAGTTTACTATAACGCTTTGTCACTGGCATTATTCTATTGTTCGAATAATTATGTGAGTAGCCTACATGGCTGTCTGGAATGCTTTATTCTGATTGGTTTATTGCAGTATTCTGTGGTCAGTTATATTTTCTACTAGACTCGACTGCAGTGATGGATAGCTATCATAGTTTTTGATAATATTTTGAATTAGATTTTATTTTTATGTTATTTTTTCACTATAATTTTCATTTCACATGTCATTTTGATGTCTATATAATGTAGTTTTTATAAATTTTTTAGAATTAGATAAAAATGAGTTCATGACCCCGGTTTTACAGACAAGCCTTAAAGGAACACTCCGACTTTTTTGGAATTATTCACTCTATCCCCCAGAGTTAGATAAGTCCATAAATACCTTTTTCATCTCTGTGCGTGCTGTAACTCTTTTTGACGCACTCACCACTAGCTTAGCTTAGCACAAAGACTGTATGTAAATGGCTGCAACTAGCATACTAATCCTAACTTAAAAAGTCAGTGCCATTGTTTTGTCTTAAGATGAACACCAGTAGTTTAATAAATGAAAACAAACTAGAACAAAGTAGTGAGTAGTATTTTAAACTGAAATATAAATGTAATAGAGTTATTAAACATAGTTACACTGCCAAAAATAGCATAAAATAAATATGTTATACTTAACAAATGAAGACATTTGAAAATGGATCATAACAAAGTACACTTGATATTCCAAATAGCAAATTACTATTTGGTATTAAAAAAGAAAAGAAAAAAAAAGTACCTTGAGCAGTTTTTCTTTTTTACCAGAAAACAAGGCGAACATACAGAAAGAAAAGCTTTAAGCATTAAGCATTGTAATATAAATGATATTTTGCATGGAAAAATGATTGTTTATGATAGCGTGAAGTCACAGTTAAACTCAGTGGGATTCTCTCTGTCCACGGCCCAGTGAGCGAGTAAATCACTGAAGTCTAGCGTGCTGGAGCTGCTGAGAGTCCCCGAGACACTGGAGCTGGTCATGGTGCAAACACTCGTGTTACTGAACATGCTGATGCTGACGGAGCTCTCTGAAGTGTCCATCACACTGAGCGTGTTGGTATCACTACACACATCGAGTCGGTGTGGGAAAGGCTCCGTCCAGAAGCTGACCGGCAGACACCGTTGGCTCATGGGCAAACCCTGGCCTTTCCTTTGAGCATCTTGAAAGAGCTCTGCGAGGGGCCCGAGGGACTCAGGCTCTTCGGCCTGCCCTGATGATGCTACTTTGATGAAGTCAGCATAGTATCGCTGGCGGCCCCCGACTTTTGGACACGGTCTCTCTGCATAAATATCACAGGCATCAGGGTCTTGGCTTCGGCCAAAGTATCGCTGGACATCGTTGCTGATGAGCTCCGCGAACCGCAGGAGCCGGTTGGTCATCTCAGCGTTACTGGGGGAGGGATCAAAACTCCACGGCTCTTCTTCTTGAGACTCACTGGTGACTCCATCATCCTCCTCTTCCTCCTCCAGACTGTCCTCTCTCAGCTCCTCTTCATATTCCTCTTCAGTCTCCTCCTCATCCTCAGCGGGAAAGAAGCAGGGAGGGAAGGGTTTTGCGAAACCCAAATTATTCAGTGTCCTGATAACACTTGCTGCCATCCTATGAAGAAAATTTGATATACATATAGGCTACTATTTTTTATAAACTGTTTTCTCAGAACATATATATATATATATATATATATATATGTTTATAAATACTAGATTGGGGAAAGTTGTCACATTCATAATGTAATTATAATGTAATTATATTTCCTATAAACATAGTTTTGTCCAACAGCTTTGCAATTAATAAACTGTGTGAATACTAATCTAAACTCTGATATTTTTCACTGTTTTTTTATTTCTATTAATTCTACATTTTAAATTATATAAGATAACATAAATAAGAAAGAAAGAAAGAAAGAAAGAAAGAAAGAAAGAAAGAAAGAAAGAAAGAAAGAAAGAAAGAAAGAAAGAAAGAAAGAAAGCATTATCATTTATTTGCAGCTATATTAATTAAATTAATATACAGTCTGGCTATATATATATATATACACACACAACATAAACTGTTTTTTTTCCATTAACTTCTCTGAACAAGAGTATAGCCTATATATATAGGGGAAAGCTGTCACATTTATAATATATATTTCTATATATTCATGTACATATACATATATTTGGACAACTGTTTTGCAATTAATAAACTGTAAGAATATCTAAACTGTGACATTTCATTTTTTCACTGTTTTTTTATTCTATAATATTGAAGGCCATTTCCTATTTTTTTAAAATTACTATAAACAGGAAAGAAAGAAAGAAAGAAAGAAAGAAAGAAAGAAAGAAAGAAAGAAAGAAAGAAAGAAAGAAAGAAAGAAAGAAAGAAAGAAAATGTTTGTGTGCAGTGAGTCTCTACCGTGTAATGCTGGATGGACGCTGCTCGTGAAGTCTTGCCGTCCGTTTCGCGTTATGGATAATTATCGGTTTGCTCATTTATACCCATCGCTCGCGGGGAGTCTGTTTTCTGAGCAAATATTTACGCGCGCGTGTGTTTAATAGTGTTCTGCTCAAACACAGCGCGAGTTTGTCTTGGCGCCCAGCAACCGGAGAGCCGAGCGGACACTGGCGCGCGCTGCGGCCGCTGTTTGCCGGGGGACACTCAAGTGTCCGTTCACCTCAGCGCACACACACAGACGCACGAACACACAGCTGTTATCGCGAGCTGCTGGACACTTATGGCTGAACCTAAAAAGGCGTGAAATCGCATCTTACGCCGTTTTGACTTTTGAATGAGCCCCTTTATAAAACCCCATTAAAAAGACAAGCAAGCCAAATGACTCGCATTACGCTACTTTGATCTGTGCGACGTGCGTTTGACCTTCGAGGCTAAGTAATGTGTAGGCTAGCCTACAATCAAAGTTTATTTATCAAAAGTACAACATGAAGCAGTAGTTATTATTGGCATTTGTTTTCCTGCAAATTCCAGAGAAAGAAAACAGAGACTGAATTAGGTCTCTGAAAAGAAAGAAAGAAAAAAAATGTTAGCAAGTTTTATTTTTTTTAACATTTTAACATTTTTTTAATTCCAACGTCATTAGGAAGCCTAGCCTATCTTTTTCTGAGTTCATAGAAACTGACTTTCAAAAATAAATGAGTAAAAAATATGACAACTAATATGGTTTCCCCTGTATTGTATCAATAAAAGCAAATCAAATATATGAAAATAGAAAACACAATGGAAAATACAAAATAGAAAATACAATGCAATTAATGTCAAAGTATAGGTCTATTTGGATAGGATAACCAATTATTTTTAGAATTACATCTTTTAAGGTCATAAGAAACAGTTCATGCAAGTTAGTCAAACATTTAGTGTAGGCTATATAATATAAAAGTATGTGTCTGAAAATAGTGTAAAATGTGCAAAATAAATAGTTTAACAAAAATGCTTTGTTTAGTGCCAGATAAACAGTCAAGGTGGGAGAAGAAACATAAAAGTTGAAGTATGGGCAGGTGTGTGTGTGTGTGTGTGTGTCTGAAACATTACAGAAAGAGCTAGAGAGAGTGTGTGTGCTCAGCATGAGTGAATATGAGCCGGACACAGGGCAATAGAAGTGCTAATGACCAGCAGCAGAGAGCATGGCATCTGGACTAACATATGTCAGAGAACTAGAACACTTCACTGCAGCTTCAGGTCGGTGAGACAACATGTAATGGCTTAACCATCCGTCAGACACCATGATTAAAAGATTTAGAAGTGTCCTGCTGTTATTCTATAAAAAATAAAGTATTGCATCATGGTGTAATAATGCAAAAAAACCATTTACACTATCTATCTATCTATCTATCTATCTATCTATCTATCTATCTATCTATCTATCTATCTATCTATCTATCTATCTATCTATCTATCTATCTATCTATCTATCTATCTATCTATCTATCTATCTATCTATCTATCCTGGAATATAATGATTGATAATAATACGTAAACAAAAAATAATAATAAAAATGAACACTGTTCATTTAGAACACTGAATTTAAATAAAAAATGCAACAAATTACAGTTTTTCCTCAATTGATTTGGCTCAAAACATTTTTTTTTCTCAAAACAATAAGTTCAGATCTCCGAAAAATTAGTTTATTGTTCACATCAGATTTGAATTTCTGATTTACAGTATTTAGGCAAACTGCATGTGTTTTGGCACGACGTGTGCAAAAGAGTAAGTACACTTGTCTACAATTTGCACAATGAATAAATGCACGGCCTGTCGATTT